ATTATGCCCATATAAAATGCGTCATAATGAACTTAAATTTTAAAAGAGTCTTAGTTCCAGGGTGCACCCAGAAAGTGTAAATGTACATTTGCAGAGAATTGAAAGTCATGTATTATTCTCTGTGTCTTACCTCCTTAAAATTATTTGATTCCCTCAGATCCTGTCAGAGCAATGCCCCGATGACAAATATTCACATTATCATGCTCATATATGGTCAGCAAAAATGATAAACCAGTGCGGAGTTGGGCTAATTAGTTTGTCAAAATACCATTTAAGAATTTATTCTCTGCAGTCATTTTTGCCAGTTCTGACGTTAGAGTCACGATTACACACAACTCTTTCTGTCCTTACTTGCACACATTGTATTATCATTCCATGGATCTTTTTTTAGGGATGTTTTTCTCAACTATAGTATTCAAAAGAACATGCAGTATAGACAGCTCTGTCCTAATGTGTCAGTGTAGTTTTGCCAATTCGTACATATAAAATATGGTGTTCTGTGTGGTACCACAATGAAATACTTGCAGTTCAGACTTTTTTTTTCTACTCTAAAGATTCAGGAAGTTGTGCTGTTAGGTTGAAGTATTAAATCTCACCATTAGCTCAGCATTTCTGCATCAGACAAAGCTTTCTATTTATATTTGTTAATGAGTGTAGGCATTCATGTTTTAGTACCTGATGTGTATGTAAGAGACAAAATATAGATTTCTTTTTTCTAAATTAGAAAGTTCTCTGAACTGAAGGATGATTAATAATCATTTTAAATTAAAGTGCTTTCATAGGCTACCATACAGAACCAAACTTACCTCACTTAAAATCTCTTTCAAAGATGTCATTTTCATCATTTGAAAAGCATTTGTCAGGAAGAAAAGAGAGTTTTTCTCCTAATTTTGCTGCTTACGAAGCTGTACTGGAAAAAAATTATCCAGCTAATGCACTGTATTGCAACACAGATTAAATTGATTGGTCTCTTTAAGTATTTCAAGAATGCCCATTTCTCTAATATCTGGGCTCTGTATTGATGTGCCGCTCAGTGCAGTAATAGGGAATAAGAAATACTTGAATAGCTACCAGCATGTCTTAGTCTATAAATGATTTTACTAATCTGCTTTTTGCTGTGCTGTATTTAAATCAGAAACCTTGTCCTTTAGAGGATTAAGACCCTGATATTTCAGCAAGCTCAAGGGAGGTGGGGAGGGGAGAGGGGAAGGAGACAAAGGATCACTGGAATTCTGAGCCCTGCATGAAACCTCTTTGAAGTCAATGAGCCTGTCAGCATGCTCGGAGATGCACCAATGTGCTCATAGCAGGGTTGGGGCTGAAGTTTGAAACTGAGAGCCAGTAATTTATATTCTGGTCCTACCACTTAATCTTTGAGTGGTATTGGGCAAATTATTTATTCCTTCTGCCTCAGTTTCACTGTCTTACTGTCTACATCAGCCATGTTGTGAGAACCGATCCATTAGTGTTTGTATAGCTCTTGGAAAACTTTTGAGTAGCATTGTCGTTAAATCTCGTAGAACCTTTATTTTAGACAGCAAAATCAATGCTAAGAAGAAAAGTAAGTGAAGTAGTCTCCACGTGGATCCAAGCCTTGTGACATGTTATACTTCCTAAAAAAAAAAAAAAAGAGAAAGAAAGGAAAAAAAAAAAA